TTTGTAAGGAAGGGTCGCTCTTCATTCGGCGAAGAACATCCGCGTATGACGATTTCTGCCCGTCCACCTTGACGAGGACAGCATGTGTGGGGGTAGATCTAGGACGCGGACGCTTGAGTTTAGCACCCTGCGACGCCTCAATGACCCGTTTTTTCCTCTTCTTCCTCTTTGGAGCACCTTTCCACGGGTTTATCGGTGGTCACTCACTTCCGGGTTTCTCGCTGGTCACCACCGGGCGAGGTCTGCGTCTCTCTTGTATCCGTGGGTAATCGGACGGTAGTGGCTAGTCCCCACTTCATCCAGGTCAGTTAGCTTCTCAACAAGGTACTTGATGGACGTTGCGTAAGGGTACGTTTATGTTGGAGCGGCGATAAACGATGAGGCGAAAGAGAAGTTTTGTTGCGAATCGCAGCCGCTGATGTGTTCATGTCGGAGATACGCGAAGCAGCGCAGTCCGAATTTGCAGAGACACTCTACAGGACATTCGGCCAAACTAACTGTCCTTCCTACCAACCTTGTTGTAAATGGCCCACCGTACCTCCTTAATTGGCTTAGGGATTTTGAGTTAAGATTTAAGTTGAACCGCAGTAGGGAGTCAACCTAAACTTCATTCCCACGCAATGGAAGCATACAGATACGAGGTCCATAGGTCTTTTTTTTCGCTGGTATATTGGCTGTGCTTGATTAAAGAGAGAGAGGTCAACCTTACTCAATTTCCCTGCATGTGGAAACAGCTGTGTGGCCCACGAGGAGTCGGTGCTAGCACGTACTTATTTCGAGTTTTTGTTCTTGTAAGGAATTTATGTGGTTGCTTGAAATGTATTGGTTATTTTATATTTTGCTTTGCATTTTCATCAATGCGTGTGAATTGAACGGAGAGTCCCTTCAATGAAGTGCTAAGGAGATTCTAGAAAGGAGAAATTGTTAGAGAAGGAAGAAAGTAAATAATATATCACGAAGAGAAGAAGATTGCTTCAGTTTGATATTGGCTGTGGCATTATTAGAGTAAGCTGCTTGTCTACAATTTATTAAGTTGGTTTGCTTGAACCATGTCTTAAGAATAAATAGCATTAGTAAACATTCAGTAATTGAATCCGAGTACTTATTTTTTTTTAAATTATTTTAGATAATGTTAATTTTGCAATATTATATTATATCAATACAAAATGATTTTACAATTCCAACTTTATGCAAAATATTCATTTGAAAACTCAATGTCACATTTCTTTATTTTTACAGGGAGAGATTAGCCTCTTGGTGGAAAGAAATTTGGAAGCAGTTGAATGAGTGTTTAAGAAGAATTATGGAGTTTGGGTCTGTAGGAGGAAAGAAATCTATTGTGTACTATAGGCCTATGTGGATTCTCCAAATTAAGAATATTTTCTTCTTATTATGAAAAATAAAAACAGTGAAGACAAGTGTGAAATTGTGCCAAAAAGAAGTGGCTATTACAGAATATTTTCAAAATGTGTAGTGCTTCTATTATTTGTCATTTCTATTTTTCCAGTCGATTAGTCTGTGAAATTTCATTCGTTAACCCTCAGTTTTCAGTTTGGTACTGTCCAGTATTCTAGAGGGGAAGTAGATCATTTTTTTATTTAAGAGAATAATTAAGTTTGAAGTAAGTTTTGTTCCTATATTTTTGTATTTTTCTGTGAGTATTAAATAATTGCATGTTATGCAATATACATCATGGAGTAATAAAAGAGAACAATTTTAAAAGTATACTTAAAAATTTTACTATTTTAAAATAGAAAAAAATTTACATTTTAATATTGCTCTAAACAAAATTTTGGTGTTAATATTTTACAATTGTTATTTAGAATTCTCAGTATATCTTTTCTATTGTGCTAGTAAAGAGCTTATATTGTGGTGAAGCTGTTAGGTTTAATTTAATCTGAATTAAAGTCTGAATCTACACATACAAAAACCATCAAAATGTTCAAAATCTATTCCAAAAGATTAATTTTTTAGGTGTCTCAGTACATGTTGACTGAACAACATAACACTCTCTCCAATGTTTTTAAGTTTTATATGAAATTTATTTAAAAAATGATTTCATTGAAACTTTGAATGATAGGTGTTGTTTTCAAAAAAATGCTTGTAAATTAATAATTTTGAATTGCTTAGTAAAATGACCTGAATTGCAAAGAACAGATTATCGGGAAGTGATAAGTAATGGTAGATAGTTTTATTGTAAATGTTCTTAAATCTTAAAACCGTAAAAACTGGAAGGCTGAGGTGTTTCTAATATGGTGTACACGTCAACTTATTTCTTGCCAAATAGTGGCATGGACTATCTATTACATCACTTCAATTTTGATTTAATTTACCAAACGTTAATTCAAGATGTTGTTCAGGAATGGATAATATTTGTATATTAAAACCAATAATGTAAATAATTATCTTTCAATAAAAATTTCTAGTTATAAAAATATGTTTCTGGCTCTCATTTTTTTCTATTGTTCTTCAATTTATTCACTTGATCAAATACCACAATTGTTATAAACATTTAAAAATAATTCATTTTAAATTCTGATTAATTATGCTTCCTTTGGACTGGCCCCACATTGTGAAGGGCCATGATAGCAAGAATAAGAATAACACTCCGCAATCAATCTGGTGAATGTCTTCACACTACAAGGAATATCTTTTCCAAGTTCTTTTTATAGGTGTTTGGTTGCTAATACAAAATTCATTAACAGTTGAGTGGATGGTTCTATGCATTTAGCATAAATAATTGGGGTACCTTCTGAGGATCTACATTACAAAAATGACTCGGAAATAATACATTATCACTTCAAGTGGATGATATGCTCTATATTAAAAGTTAACTTTAGAATTTCACCACAACACACAATAAAACAATAAAAAACCGACGACATTAACCATAATTATTTGTATTTTTAGTGTTCATTGAAACGATGTAACCATCAACCTCTAAAAGTACGTGTGTGTACTAATTTAGCGGCCCACAATTTGTCTAAACGAAACATATTGCGTGATTTATGTCCCTTTGCGTCCTACATTTGACTCCTACAAAACACAAATGTACATTTCGCATCATTTATCGACTTTTCAACACCTGGAGCAGTTTGTCAGCGTGAGAGCGCGGACCAAGCCGATTAGCAGCGAATACCTATCAAAGGGTTCTTGCCGCTCCTATCGCTGGTCGCAGCGCTGATCGCCAGGAGCCAGCGCGCTCCGGACCTGCAACACCTCCATTTGATTACATCGACGTCTCAGTTGCTTGGCTCGCAGCGCTGCTTTCATCGTTTATCGCAGCTCCAACATAAACGTACCCTAAGCCTTAATCTCCTTGTGCACATTGTGCTTTGGCTTCGCATACTCGTATAGTGCATTCGCTTTCTGCACCAATATGCCCCAAAGCTCCGGGTCAATGTCCCCCATCTCGATCAGGTTTTTGTCCAATTTTCCTGATCCATTGAACAAATATTGAGATGGCTCCTTGTTTTGCTCTTGGACGTAAATGTAGCTTCACTATGCACATATTTTATTGAACTCTCTTTTTGCTTGTAGTGGTAGGAGTAGAGGTAAGGGTGAGTTACTATTTTGTTAGCAATGCAGAAAAATCAAACCTGCAGTTTGTTTACTGTTGCAAATAAGTTTTCAATAACTCTGGAACGAAAATGTCTTGTTTTTCAAATGTTTCTAATCTGGCCCTTTTTTAATTTTATTTTTATTTATTTATAATTTTTACTCGTCCTTCAACTATCTAGAGTTAAAATGATGGGAAGGGGTTCTGGAACTCAAGAAAACATGCGTAGATGATCTTCTCTCCTCATACGTCACACACTTTTTACTGTTTTTTACTAAATAAATAAATAAAAGTAGCATTGTCGAATTCTCTATCATCAGGTAGTTCATTTGCAGGCGAGTATTTCGTAAGAGGACCAATTACACACTTATAGTAATCAATGTCACAGACATTTGCGACACCCACATCTTCGGACGACTTTCGTTTTCTTTCCAAAACATTACTCGACACATCACAAAAAGGCTCTTTTCGACACAAATCGCAATTTTTTAAATTTATTGACGGTGAACATTATATTTTCAACTTCTCAAAAATACTGGTTGTATGGACCGTAAACGTACACCTACGGAAATATTTGAAATTGTTAAAGTCATTCATTCCAATCGTATTGTCTATCATTTTAAAGATATTGAAGATTCGTTTTATGAATATGAATTACAAAAAGCAAAATATCCATATCTCTGTTTAATAGAAAACGGTTAAAAACAAAAGGAAATAAAGTATATATAAAATGGTTAAAACTTTATCATACCCACAATTTTTAGATAGAAAAATCGAATATGATGGATCTTAATTAATTCTATACTATTGCCCTTAAGGGACAACGATTAGCATGTACATGATTTAGCATCAATAGAAAATTGAAATTATTATTAGATTTTTGAAGATCTAAAGAATTCTGTAAGAAACCGGGTCTGTGATTTCAATGCCAAATTTTCTTGTGATAAAGATAAAATTAAACAGAATACATAAAAATTTTGAATTATTCATCTTCTATTTCGTCATCGATTTCAATTCTATCATCATTAATTTTAGTATTTTCATCTATTTTGATATCACAATCACACGATGTTTGATTCACTTGTACTAAAAATTCATACTCTGTGCAATCCTAACAAACACTTGTATGAAGTTTAACATTGGGTGAATGTATAAGACATTCAAATCACAAATTGCTTAACCCTTTTATGATCTCCATTTATAAGACTTATAAAAATAACGGTTTTTTGAATAATCCTTATTCACTGAAAAGAATGTACATTTTTATACTATAATTTAGTCGGTAAAAAAGTTCCTAATAAATGGAGATGAATCAAATGCAGCTGAATGCCTACTGTAAGTGTAATAATATTACAGGATATACAAGAAATAAAAAAGGAGAACTGATTAAAACTGTAAACGAAAATCAAAACAATATTTAATTATCATTATGATATATTTTCATCTGATAAGATACCTGAAAATAAAGTAAAGGCTTATAAGGTCAAAGGAGTATAGAATAATAGAATTGTCAATTAAAGATTTAGTTTAAACATTAATCAATATGATTTAGAAAATTATTTAAAGAAAATAGCATGACATGAATTAAAAATTATGGACAATTTTAATAACAAGATATATACTCATGTTCATATCACATATTCATATCATATATCATGTTAACAAATAATGCAGGAAAAGGACTAGTGAGCAAATTTCCCCACTATCAATTCTGTTGTCATATCCTTGTATATTTTCCAAAATGAGGCTCACCTCAGTTTCTTTTGTATACCCCCTTTGTTACTGAGGTTCATATTTACAATTACGTAAATTTATTATTTCCATTTAATTATCTTTGTGACAAATCATCACATAATACAAAATAATTTTCAAGTATTCGATCAGATTTAGCTTAAATTCAGATTTATTATAAACTTTTCAACATAATTACACTTATAAAGAACATAACTTGTATCGGTAAAATATTTAACACTTATTTTGGTACATCAGTTTTTTAACTACACTGTAAAATTCCTCCTTTGTATACATGATTCTATTTTCATCCATTAATTGCTTCAATACTTCTGCTTCGCAGTGACCCAACTTCCACTGATCAATCCACCAATTACTCTCATTTCGTTTAAGAGTAATTGGTGAAAGAGGTAGAGGACAATTATAATGGGATATATTTGCAATGAATTTACCATTAAATACTTCATCTGAATTTCGTCTTGCAACCATTTGACAGACAAAGCACTCAAAATGTTCCACCATATTTCCTCCCTCAAAGTCATCACCAACACCCCACTTTCTTTCACTCAAAACAGTCATCAGTTTAACATTAGATATTCTTTCATCAATATCCTTGAGTTTATGATCCAAAAATGAGTTGTATAAACTATTATTATCGTTGACAGCAAGCAGAAATTCTGCTAAAGACTTTGGAGACTGATAATCGGACACTAATATTGCCGATTTTGCATTTGGAAGCCAATCCTGCAAAACAATACAAAATGATTTTCATGTTCACGTTTTTGATATCACTTGTTCACAAGTTTTTAAATAAATATTTTAAAATGTTCGACCTTTTAAAATATAAATGATTTTAAATTTCTGAATTTATTAATTAAAAAACCACCCAATGGTGTATCAGCCCTCTAATTTGTAGCGGGCGATGATATGGGATAATTTTGTTTATATTATTATTATTATTATTATTATTATTATTATTATTATTATTATTATTATTATATTTGCGTATCGGTCATTTTTTACCAAGCTACACGTTCTCTTTTGAGGCCCAGTCATAGTCTATCTCAGAGAGAGATTAACGTGTGTAATTATAGGTATCAGCTTTTCAGCTGATTAAGAGATTGTTAAGCCTTGAATTATGAATTATCGGGTAGTGGGATGAGGAAGTGAGGTGATCGTGGCATTTTTGAATCATTACAGCATTTGCCTGTATGACCGAGGGAAATCACGATAACCCGGTCAGGATGGCTGGCCCGGGAATCGAACCCAGGCTTCCCGATTGCGAAGTCAGCGCGGTAACCGTTAAGCCTCTATTTTAATTTCTAGTAATAATAGAGTGAAATACACTTATAAAGACAGCATGAGGCCGATTTCCAGGTTTAACTTAAAATTTTCGAAATATCAACATTTTTCGTGCGTCTTCCTACAACTAGAAAATTAAAGATACAGGTATTTCCTTCAAATAAAATTTGTTCTCTACAGTGTGTTCTTTCATTAAAGTCATGTACATTTTTTTGAAAATGTTAGTGGTTTTCGCGTAATATTTCGTTTTCAAAAACGTCTCCAAAAGTTGTATTTAAACTTTTGGTAGGGATAGTGCTAAATGCCATCTATTAGATGACATAAACGCTATACTTCTCTATCCTATTTTTTTTCAAAAATTACAAAAATGTATTTTTTTTCCTTTTTTGCCTCACGAATTCTTCGTAAGAAGTTATGTTATCGTGCGCCAGAAAACGCCGACATATCACCAGAAAAAAACCTATTGCAAACTTCTGGCAACGAAAAAGTGGATAAATTCTGTTGCTAAATTTAGAAAAAAGTTCTCTAACTCGAGAGTAGCCTGAGTAACCAGAATCCATGTTTTGATGGTTCACTATACCGAAAAATTGATTGACGACAAAACGTCCACCGTCCGTCTCTGGTCAACGCTAGCGGATAAACAGTAGGGCCAATTTTCTCCAAACTTGATTTTCACAAATCGATCTGGCTGAATTTGCGGCCGCTGGAATTTGAAACTGGTATTTTAATTTTGGATACTTTACATAAAGCCCCGATTCGATTTTTTTTTAAATTGCTCCAAACTTTTTTATAAAATTTTGTTGCTCATAAGTGCGAAAGACGCTTAAGAGAATGGTTTCATAATAGACGCCTAAGAGAATCTCACATTCGGTAATATTCCATGTTTTTCTAAAATTTCAAAAATAATTAGATAAAAGTACAAAATTAAAGATAGAGATGTTTGGCTCAAACAAAGAGTGTTGTACAAAATAACCTCTTTAAAAAAGATTATGTACAATTTTTTGAAAAAACGAGTAGTTTTTGCGTAATGTGGGCTTGAAATTTACAACAACAACAAAAAACTTTTCTCACAAACCGCTACAATTTTTTTCCTTACATTTTTCCGCATATGTAATAAGGGGCGCTATGAAATATGGTGCTAGTCTCATTTTGTTATTTTTTTATTACAAAAACATTTTAACACTACATATCTTTTTGATAGATTTTTGCATCAATGTTTTTAGTACAAAATTAGCTATTTAAATAAATACACTAGTGATGCTATCGAATGGCACAGACTTTCTCGCCTTAGTTTTCTATTCTTTCTACTCTTGACCAGCTTTTCCGACAGGCGTCATTGTCTTCTCCGCTGTTTTCTTTCGTCACTCGAAAAACAAATATTTTTCACATTTTCTTAATTACCCGGCTCCGTAATAATAGAACTGAAACAACCATACACTTATTACTATTATATATTAACTGCACGTCGTAACTGGATAGCCGTCGTAGTTATTTGGGGGGGGGGGAGGGGTAAGGCCTCAGCTCTTCGGAGGGCAGATTGGCTAGTTCGAGTCTTAGCTGGGAAATATTATTTGTGACAATTCTGTGTTGCAGCAGGAAATAATTGATAATTACAGAAAAAGTATTGAAAACAGTTTGAAGCAATTCCAATCGCAAATTATATTAATCAAGATAAATAAACTGGAAGTGTCTGCACGTGATTTTTGAATTTTCAACGTTTTAACAATTTTTAACATCTCTTATTGGATTCGTAAAACTTATGCACCATCAAAACAATTGTTGTCTTTAGTCTCTTATGACTATTATTGAAGTGAATTCTCTGTCTAACCGGAAAAGCCGAAGTGGTTAAATGTCGGTTTCGGACTCAGGGTTTCGAAGGGGAGGGCCGCTGGCTCGAAACTAGCTCGGGGGTACCGTGTCACAACTCTCTGTTGCCGCAGAAAACTATTGAGAATTTCAGAAACTTTATTGAAAATAATTTGAAGCAATTCTACTCATTCATACATTTTACTAAGATTACAAATGAAGTGAAGGTGTCTGTACTATGTGATTTTCGTATTTTGAAATTTTAAACAAGTTTTCAACTCTCTTGTCCTATTTGTAAAACGTATGTTACATCAAATCAATAGTTCAATATAATATTCAAAGCAATATATTGCGAAGGGTTTAGAAACATTGCAAGTATGTGCTTTGGCATCACCACAAGATTGACTTGTCTCTCACGTCATTAATAGTAGCACCAATTTGTTTACATTATTATATTTATGAGCACATGTGCTTTAAACAATGTTATAAAAAGTTTCTCGAAAATTTAAGTTTTATGTAAGAACTAGTTCAACATTCTGCACTTTTAGAACCGCCAAAACGCCATTTTCTCAAAATTGGATCCATATTCTTTCTTCAAACTTTTCGAACGGAGTGCTAAATTGCGCTCTATACTATGACGATTTTGAGATTTAAACGGAAAGACACGTTTTGGGTTACCCTGATACCGAAAGAGTGTTTTTTTTATAGAACGTCCGTCCATCTGTCAGTCTGTTAAAACAACTAGCGCCTAAACCACACGTATGATTATTTTCCAAAACGGATATTCCCAGTAGATCTAGCTCCAGTTGAGGAGCCACGATTTTGAAAAACGTTCTTCAAAATTTGGGTGTACATTACATAAAGCCCCTCGGACATTTTCAAAAGTTTCTCAAAAACAGCTCCAAATTTTTCCTTTAAATTTCTTGTATTAATAGAGTAAAATACACTTATAAAAGTGACATAGGTTAGATTTTCACGGTTATCTCGGAATTTTCGAAAATTGCAAAAGTTTTAATATTTTTCCACGTTGTCCGAGAGCTACAAAATTAAAGACCGAGGTTTTTCCTTCAAATAAAATTTGTTCTTCGTGGAGAGCTCTTTCATTATGGTCATGTACATTTAAAAAAAGTTTTATTATTATTATTATTATTATTATTATTATTATTATTATTATCGTTAAATAGAAATAAATAAAATACGCTTTTATGATTTTATACTTTATGGTACCTCACAAATCGTAACCAGATAGGTGAAATACCTTTTTAGAATGCCAAAAACATTAGAGAACCACACATATAACCCAGGTTATACGGGGTTCCGCAGTGTTCAACACATGGTCCATTGCCTCACTTATTGTGCATCAATCATTAGTTATCAGTTTTCATCAGTTATAAGTAATCATAAATCTATTGGTGGTAAAAAAGTACATACTTTGTCGCATTAATTCTAACTTTTTGCAATTTCTGAAAATTTACATTGTTCATCGTAAATGGTACCTACGAGTTCTTTTAAGCACCCATGGAAAAAATTTAAAACATTGAAGTCATTTTTTTATTTTCAAAAAATTATACCTGAACATATTTAAGGACCTAATTTTTACTTTCTCACTACCGCTTACGTACTAGAGAAAAAGTTATCTAATTCTGGGCGAAAAACGGCGAATTTTCGGTAGAAAAATTACAAGGCCCTGATAACGAAAAAGTGGATCAATCCAGTTGCTAAATTTAGAAAACAATCCTCTAACACATGGTGTAGCCCGAATCTATGTTTTGTGGGTCCTTGATATAAAAAACGTAAAAAAGGTATCCAATGACATAACAGAAAGATAATAAGCTATTCGAAGTCTACAACAGTTAACTCTTGATGAGCAACAAAGGTACTTTAGACATGTTCTTGAAGAATATCGAAGAAATTATCCAGCAGACAATAAAATAGACCTAATTAAATATTTTCAAAACAGTACATGTAATAAAAACAAAATAAAAAATCATCCGTCATAATTTTCATTTAACATTATTACAAAATTCGTTACAAAAATATTTAACTAGTAGAGCTACAGAATGACACAGAAATTCTCGTGCTAGTTAGTTTTTAAATTTCTTTGATAGGGGCTAGCTTCCCCATTCTCTTCCCAGCTGTCATTATCGTCGTACAAACTACATTTTTTTGCATTTTCTCAAAATTTCCGTTCCCTTTTTGTAGAAGTGAAACATGACTTTCTATAGCTTATAGAAGGACACAACCCTGTCATATACAGAAATTTTCGTTGAAATGGCGCGGGAGAAATATTTGGAAGAAATAGTGCTTATTGCGCTATTTAAGGCGGCATTAACACAATATTGCTCTAATCTTTTGTTTCTTCAAAAATTAAAAAATGTAATTTTTTCACTTGTTTCTCACATCGGTAATATTTGCAGCAATTGGTTTACAAGATTACGTTTGTGCGTACATGTGCTTTAAATAATGTAATAGAAAGTTTATAAAAAACAACCGTTTTCTGTAAACACTAGGTCAAAATTCCGCATTTTTAGAAACGCTCAAATGCCATACTCTCAAAAACGGCACCAAACTTTATTTTTCCGTATACGTACGTGTATATACAGGGTAATATACGTAGGAAAACGTATGAAATGCTGCGGAAAATTGATTTCAAGAATTCAAGGGAACATTTTGGGGTCCCCTGATAGCTAAAAAGTGTTTTTTTTCAAACGTCCGTCTGTCTGTGAACACTACTAACACCTACGCCATGCACAGGATTTTCTCCAAATTGAAGCGCCCCCTGTCCATCTGGCACGAGCAGAAGCTTTAAGATTTTGAAAAACATTCTTTAAAATTTGGGGGTACTTAACATAAAGCATTTTCATTTTTTTTCAAAAACCGCTCCAAATTATTTCTTTAAATTTCTTAAAAGAATGGATAGGTCTAATATTCACTGTTGACTAAAAGTTTTTGAAAATTGGAAAAGTTTGAACTTTTTCAGCGTCTTCCTACAACTACAAAATTAAAGGAATATTTTTTCGTCAAATAAAATTTCTTATTCATAATTATTTCTTCCATTAACGCCACGTACATGATTTTGAAAATTTCATTAGTTTTGGGCAATACTTCGTGCAATATTTGCAATTTCAAAAACTAATCAAAAAAATATTTTCACAAGAACGACTCCAATTTTTTTCTTTATACTTTTGGTAGGAATACTGCTAAATGTACTCTATCAGATGACACAAACGTCATATTGCTCTATTCTTGTGTTCTATTTCAAAAATGTAATATTTTTACTTATCTCTCATGGCGTTATTATTTATATTAGCGGCAATTCGTTTACATTACATTTGTGAGTAAATGTGCTTTAAATAATGGCATATAAAGTTTCTCGAAAATAATCGTTTTGTCTGAAAAATAGCTCACAATTCCGAATTTTCCGAAACGCACAAACGCCCATTTTCTTAAAACCGGTTCCAAATTTTGTTTTCAAACTTTTCGAAGTGATATTGCTAATTGCTCTTTAATAAGACGTTAAGTTCATTTTGGTGTATTTTTTATTTTTTCAAAAATTGTACAAATGTAATTTTTTGAAAGATCTTTCGCGGCGTTAACATGCACATTTCCAGCAATTTGTAAACACTATTGGTTGTGAGTTTTCTCTCATTAAGTTTTTCGAAAACGTAGATATTTTCTGTGAAAAAAAGCTTCAAATTTCGTTTTTACTGTAGTGGTTAAACACCATTTTCTTAAATCGATTCCTAATTTTGAAAAGAAAAGGGACATTTAGGACGAGGCTTTACTGTTTTGAATATTCTTAAAATAATATTTCCCTTGTACTAATAGGAAACCGAAAAATTAAGATTTTTTATAAAAAAAAGTATTTAGGCGGCGATAGATGGCAGTTGACAAAAGTATGTGGCAAGTTCGAATAACTAACCGATAGAAAAGGATATAGCAAACTAATAAGGGAAAGTTTGTGTCATTCTGTAGCACCACTAGTTTTTTCTGTTTCACGAATCGGCCAAGTTTCGTGTTCGTGTCGTGTAAATACTCGCGCAGGTCATAATCGCACTCAATGCTTTTTGCATTAACTGCAAAATCAGATGTGACAATAATCCACGTATGGGCTGTGAGGGCCTAGTTGTGATTAACTTGGAAATGCTATCTAGCCACAAAGTTAATGCATAGCCATTAAGAAATCATTGGGTTCGAGGAGACGACAGCAGGAAAAGTCTGAACCATTCTGTAGTACCACTAGTTTTACCATATGTTGTTATTGTACCAAAGAGGAGAAACTTTAATGAACAATTTTTTTAAGAAAATATTTTTTGTAGGAATTGCGTACATTTCAAGCGCAAATTGCGCAAGAACTACTCGTTTTCAAAAACTTGTCCATGACCTTTTTTAAAGAGCTGATTTTTTTAAAACAGACTCTGTTTAAAGCAAAAATCGCTATCTCCAATTTTTGTAGTTTTGAAATGTTTAACTTTTGCAAAATCCTAGTTTCATTAAGTTTCTATTTGTGAATGTTGTAATTGAAAGCTTATTTTTACAGTTTATGCAAATGAATCTTCAAAATTATGAGTCAATAAACAGTGGGTATAGCTCTTACTTTTGAAAGAACAAAATTGTTCATATTTGAGTGAGAAATGACAAAATATTTTATAAATGAGATCTAGGAAATAAAGAAATTGTAACACACGTGGCAAAATCTGTATTTTAATGCCTTCTCATGAAAAGAGTGAGCTTGTCACCTTATTCAGAGAGCAAAATGACAAGTCTTTTTTAGAATATTCCAAAGCCAGTGCCAATTAAAAGATTTTTAAAAAACATTAAAAAAAAATAATATAAACATCATGGGTAAAAGAAAACACTTAGGGGCATTTTACAAAAAACCTTTCAAGAACATGACTGCCACAATTCAAACAAATGAATATAAAAAGGTCAACCAGTATTTGAATCACTATGCTTTGTGATTAGGAGGACAATTGTATAGAACTTTCTTAGAAATAAAATTGACATAACTGTCAGGAAGTAACTCACACACACAGATGGCGATCCTAAATAGATGGGAATAGAGCCAACTATTAGAGGTCTCCAGAGCTTTTCAGTAATATAATCATCACAAATTGAATTTTCAAATGCTAAAGTAAATTTGTATCTTGCTACAAAATGAAAAAACTCTTCTGATTCTAAGCTTTCCAACGGATCAGTCAGACTGCAAAAAACACATAATTATTATACTACACTGTACATCAGAACACTCATATGTGATAGAAATAGTTGAAAGTGATTGCAAAAATCATTATCTCACCTGGGTGGCAGTTTTCGATTATTCAAGCACAATCCATAGGAATCCACAGCAATATATTTCATTAGTTCTACAACATAGGCATCTCGTTCCAAAGGAGTATTACAATCAGAATGAATGTACAAAACAGGAGCTATTTTGTGCAGAAGAGTATTTTTTTCCTTCAAGGACAAAAGGTATTTGTGACCTAATAATAATAATAATAATAATAATAATAATAATAATAATAATAATAATAATAATAATAATAATAACAACACAACAACAACAACAACAACAATAACAATATAATAAAAAGCAAATAGACAATATACCATGCCACATAATGAGAAATTCTTTTCATAAAAATATTTTAAAAATTAACGGCTTATGATAATAGTTTATGAACTTACTAGTAAGCATATCCAAATTTTGTAAATATTGTAATGTCAGAGGAAAACTACTCCATCTGCTGAAAGTAGCTGTGAAGTTAAAAAGATTCAATGCACTTTCATGAGATAAAATCGGATTATTTTTCGGAGATTCTTCATGAAATAGTGCCCAACTAAATGAAGATGCATTTCGTGGTAATGGCAAATCCAACACATCAAACTTTGAGCCATAAAACATTAGAGCCTATAACAATGAAACATGATGAAAATACATAGGAAACAAAGCATTGTTTATTACACCACAAATTCTTTTCTTTATTTGGTCAGTATTTTGAAAATGGAGGAAAGATTGGTCAAAAGGTATTAAGGAGAGAGAGTATAGTTTTATAATATATTATGAATATGCAGAAGCAATGTTAATACAGAATAAATATAATTACAATATATTTCACATTCAGGATACAACTAGGACTAACTCCTTAGTACCAAAAAATTAATTTTCAGCATTGCTTGTCCATCTTTTTGTTCACAATTACTAGCACCTAAACAGTATGCTGAATGTTCACAAAAATCGATATTCTTTGATCAATGTGGCGCAGCCCCTCGAACATGAAATAGATATTGTAATTTTTTATTTGTTTGTTTATTGAAGTCCAAACGATTTTTTTTTTAGTTCAGTGGTGTCAGCAGTGTGTTCATCTATGATCATTTTCATTATTTATTTAATCATATATGATTAAATAAATAATGAAAACAGGAAATTCATATGTTTTAATATTTATTAAAACATTGTTGCAGAGTTAGCTTTTGGGAACACTTCTTCTCTTCCTGTAGGGTTCACTGAAACTAAGAAGGAAACAATTCTTAAATTACAATTTTCAAGAAAAGGCATAGTAGATATAACAAATTGAATAAAATATTCTCAAAAATGGTACTAAATTATTTCTTCAATTTTTGGGGGTGAACAGTGCAAAGTATGCTCATAAAAAATGCAGGTCACTGAATAATAATAATAATAATAACACTAATAATAATAATAATAATAATAATAATAATAATAATAATAATAATAATAATAATAAAAAGAGTTTCAACTTCCTTCACCAGTTTTAATAATAGATTTTCTCTTAATAAAAGTAGTTTCTTTAGTTAAATCTTTATTCTTAATCTAATTTCAGATCTTAAAATAGTTTTTAAATAAATTATAAATATTCGCGACATATTGAGTGAAAATGCGGCAATTAAAAACAAAATAAACAAAGTTGTCGCAAAGGGTTCTATTTTTTGCCATATTAGAGTAAGGTTTGCTGAAGAATAAGGCAAAGTTTTTTTTCATTACAAATTTTGGTAAATTGTAAATGTTCAAGTTTTACTTTCTGGAATACTTACTAGAATACAGAGTAATACACATAGTATAGGGAAAGTTTTGTAAGGTTGCGGACAATTGATTTCGAGATTTCAATAGAAATACACGTTTTGGGGTATCCTGGAACCAAAAAAGTGTTTTTTTTTCCCAAACCTCTGTCCATCTGTCTGTTTGTCAGTCTGTTTGTAACCAACACTAGCGCATTAACTAAGCGAAGGATTTTTTTAAAAACTGAATAAATCCCTGTCGATCAGGCCTCACTCAAAGCTCTGCGATTTTGAAAAACATTCATTAAATTGTGGGGGTATTTAACATGAAGCCGCTGGGATAATTTCAAAATTTTCTTAAATATGGGCCCAATGTTTTTCTTTAAATTTTGTGTAAGTGAAATGTACTTATAAAGGTGGCATACGTCCGATTTTCATTGTTAATTCTGAATATTCAAAAATTACAAAAGTTTGAATTTTTTCGACGTCATGCCTTCCCTGCACATTTCACACAATTTATACACGTTATTACATTAGTGAGTGGAAGTGCTTCAAATGACTTCCAATAAAGGTTCTCAACTAGTGGTGTAACCAAAGCACATACTTTCTGGAAATGTTATAAATACTCCACAATATTATATTACTACATAAACCAGCAAAGGTGTTTTCAATAAGCAATGTTTTTTCCGTTCAGAGATTCAAACTCAAATCCTCAGTATTAACTTGCCGGCACTCATACCACTAAGCCACATAATCGCCGTATGGACCGATCTCGGTCAGAGGCATAAAAAGGTAAATGCCTGCCCTGTAAATATCCCTCAACAATCAAAACATCCGTTACAAACTCCCAAAGCCTCCAGTTCGTTCAGATCCATCAGGAAATATCAATTTTGTAGAAAATCGGCTGAACGGTTAAGGTGCTGCAGTTGTCCACAAATGGACAGACAGCTGATAAGTTAATAAGGTACTTGATTGATTGATAGTGATTCCAGGCACGTCATCTGCTAGTCATTAGTTCCGTAAGCTTAGTACATGTTTCCCCCGGAAGGTAGCTGTCATCTTCCCCCCACCAGGATGGCTAAATCCGACGCCGACCTAGAAAGCGTTTTCCCCCCAACCAGATACCTCTCACCAGAGGGGCATCGCCCCAGCCGGGACCAGCTCATGGAAGGTGCATGGAAGTGTCCAAGTGGGTAAGTAAAGGGCAGGATAGGACAAGGAATGGGAAGGAAAGATCGCGGCCCGTGACCCGTTTGGTAGAGTACTGCCCTGGCAATCTAGTTGATCAGAGAAACCACAGAAAGCTACCGATCAAAGCAGCCAGCCGCAAGAATTCTCCTCCACACACCGACAGAACTCGATCTAGATATCTGGCTAGTGTCGAAAATATTGTCTTCGCCAAGGCTCGAATCTAGGGCCTCCCAGTCGGTGGCACTACAATGATATTAGTTGCTGCCCTAAACCACCTTTCCCGGTCTGCCGTTAAGGATATCTAACACTCTCCCATGGGCAGAGTATATATTGTATTTAAATTTCATGTTCATAGATTTATTAGTTTACTTAAATCGGTTTATACAAATGCACACAAGGACAAGCAACAAGAGTTTCAACAAATTAAAATTCCTGCCTGGAATTCGAACCCATTTCCTTTTGACCCGAAGAGCTCAATGCGTACACTTCTTAACCCGCTCGGCCTTCCGCGTAAGTAACGGGTTGCATATTTCTATATTAATCAAGAGGTAATTCTATCAATACTAGCAATACGGAGTCAACAAAATTGTGAAAATGTGGGAAAAAATTGTTTTACGGGCGTCAAAAGTAGACAGCCTTGACGCCTACCGGGAAAGCTATTCCAGACTAGTGAGATTAGTAGACTAACTAGGTGAAAAAGTCAATGCCATTCTATAGCACCACTACAATATTTTTTATTTATTTATCATACGCTGTTAAATACAAGGAGAACGTTTGAATGGTTTAGGTGCTAGCGTTGACCACACACAGACGGACAGAGGGACTGACATATGTTTTTTGTCAATCAATTATTCGGTATCAAGAACCAACAAAACATGAATTCTAGCTACACCACGTGTTAGGGATTTTTTTTAAAATTTAGCAAGAGGACTTATTCAGTTTTTGTTACCAGAGCTCGGCAATAAGGGGTTTTCTGGCAAAAATTCGGTGTTTCCGGCGCACAATTATATAACTTTCTCTTCTTACGAAGAATTCGTAAGGCGCGAAAGTTAAAAAGAACTTAAAATTTCGCATTTACAAAACACATAAACGCCATTTTCTTAAAAACGATTCCAAAGTTTTCAACAAAAATGCCTGTAAAGGGTGGGAGTTTACTCTTCTATAATATTCTTAAATTAATATTTCGGTTCTACGATTAGGAAATTGAGAAAATTCGACAAACATGTACTTTGGGCGGCGATAGATGGCAGCTGGCAAGAGTGCGTGGCAAGTCCAAAAAGCTGGCCCAGAGCAAAGAAATTAGAAAACTATCTAGTACGAGAGTCTGTGCCATTCGGTAGCACTAGTTTCTTAATGTGTTCTAACCATTAAATTCAGGCAAGGACGTCAATATATAATTTTTCAATATTAGATCAAACCACACCATGTATAGTTTGTGGATAAATTTAGTATTCGTGTAATTTTGAGTAGAAATATCCAGGATCACAACAATATTACGAATATAGGACTATTTCACTGAGGTGACAAAAGTCGTGGAATAGCAATATTCACATATAAAGATGGCAGTAGTACTGCGTAGAAGTGGTATAAAAGGGCAGTCCTTTGGCAGAGCTTTCATTTGTACTCAAGTGACTCATGTGAAAAGGTGTTTAACGTGATTATGGCTACCGGCGAGAATTAACAGACTTCGAACGCGGAATAGTATTTGGAGTAAGATGCCTGGCCTTATTCATCAGCAAGTGACTCAGGGCATCTACCGATATCACTGCAGAGCCTCGGACTGAGAGGTCTTACAATTCGCGTCCCGGCGGTGGCAGGAATTTCGACACTAACAACATTGTTAGGTCGAATTGAACCGCTGCCTGGCGAAGAATTCTAGCGGCTAGTTGATCTGATCGGTAGTTTCCGTGATTTTGCCGATCAAAACCAGGGGAATGCCGGAGCAGTACCCTTACAAACGAGCCGCGGACCGTGCGCGATCTTTCCTTTCTCTTCCGTGTCCTACACACACACACTTAAACTCGCACTACACTTGTCGGGAGCTTAAAGCTTGTCCCGACTGAGGCAGCTTCTGGTGGGAGATCTGGATTGAGGAAAATCTGCACAAGCAGACAAATGTCGGCGCCAGGTCTCGACATTCAGCCAGGAAGATCACATCGATTAAACATGAACAACATTTACGGGACTAATGACCTTATCCGTTGTAGCGCCCAGCATAACTAATCAATGGGACATCCCCTTTCTAAAATCGTCAAAGATTTCAATATTCAAAGATTTACAGTGTCAAGAGTGTACCGAGAATACTTAACTTCTGGCATAATCTCTCACAACGGACAACGTAGTTGCCGATGGCCTTCACTTAATGACTGAGAGCAGCGGCACTTGTGCAGGTGAGTGCTAACAGACAAGCAACACTGCGTGAAATAACCGTAGAAATTAATGTTTACGACGAATCCGTGAGGACGAGTGCGGCGAAATTTGACTTTAATGGCAGCAGAAAACCGCCACGAGTAACTTTACTAGCAGCACGACTTCGCCTGCAGCGCCTGTTCTGGGCTCGTGGTCATATCGCCCCATCGAACATCATATCACCGAGCAAAAGAAGATCCGACATGTGGTATCCCATGACTTTCGTCACCTCAGTGTGTAACACAAAATAGTTGTGTTTCAGTAGCTCATCGGCGGCGGCTCAAGGAAAACGTATCAGACCCGAAGGATTGGGGATCAGAAACCATCCTGTCTAAATATTTTCGCTCTTGCTTTTTTTTAAAATTTTGTTTTTCTCTTTTATTCTGTAGTATTGAGATGAAAAGAATTGGCATCATCACAACCATACAATCTCAAATTTGGGGTCGTAATATTCATTAATCCCTTAAAGGTTCTTTTGGGCTGGATTAACACACACGCCAGGATTAAGGCATAATCTATTAACCCAATCAGACAGCTTCGTGGGAATTTTTGGGGCTGGTGCGCCACTAGCGTCGTTGAGCGATCAATAAGGTGCTGGAAGCTGGTTTCGAAAGAAATGTTATACAAAAGTTCCTCTTGAAAAAAAAAAATGATTTGAATATTTTTCTGTATGACTTTAAGAGTAGACAAAAACCTGAAAAAAGTCAGAAAAATATAGGCTTTTCGCGCCTTCTGCATTTATCACAGGTTTGCGAGGTCGAAAACTTGGGGTTTTATGTAGTGCCTGGGTAACTCAACATACCCAAAGAAAAATGTTTTTATGGCATTTTTACAAGTAACCACCATATTCAGTACACACCAACTCAACTTATAGTTTTCGATCCATTTGTGTGTATGAATTTAAGTATCCATTACCAGTAAATGTGAGTAAATGTGCTGTTGTAGTACCACTAGTTTTTAATCGTTGAATTTAGTTATCACCTTCTTGAGAGGATGTTGCGCAAACTTCCGATCTTCTGTGAAAAAGCATTCAGCATCTCCGCACTTTCTGAACAGTGCTATCTCACCAGTGAAAGGTGTCCACCAAATAATGACAGGAACGTTGACATCTGAACAAAATGAGAAGACATTCGATAAAATGAGCAAATAAATTATTCTGGTTAATATATGATTTAAGAGATTTAGAAATTATGCGTACCTCTCAATGAAATATTTTGCCCTTGAGTTAGAGATGCTGCAGGAAGTCTAGGCGAATCGAAATATTTCTGAAACACCGGCCACAAACACAACAATAAACAAGAAAAACAGGACATTTTCTATTACGATTTAAGAACTTTAAGAAACAAGATTAATTTTGAAAGTACTTAATTTAGAAGAAAATATAAATTCCAGACAAAATTTCAAATAACATCGCATTGATTTGTGTGTTTTCAGATAATACTTTTTACTTTCTCTTATACGTATTTATAGTATACGGAGTAATGTACGTAGTATAAATTGATGCTACGGCAAAAAACGGCAATTTTTCGACACAAAAACGCGTATTGTGGGGCGCTAAAACATAATACAAATTGTTTAAAAATTACAAAAAAATCTAATACTTACTATGTTTATTTCAAGCATTAAATAATGCTCGCTATCAATGTTCAATCATTTACTATTAATCAAAGATTCACAATAAAATCACTTGATCATTCATGATCTATATCCATTCATTTCACGTCACTTGTTGGATTGCTTTTCTGTTCGTTCATCCTTTTTTAACCTCTAGAACTCCTTTTTTACATGACAATGACTACAGTAGATACACTTGGTGCAACTTTAATCCTGTTCCTGATCCTGATGCAATACATTACATCCTCTAACACGTTATGTAGTGAGATTTTAGAAATTATGGGTACTTGAAACAAAGAATTGGGTTTTCTCTGATGCCAAAAAAAGTGGAAGCCGTTTTTGAGAAAATCTTGTTCATGTAATTTTTAAAGTTGCACAGATTGCATGCAATATTGCGCAAAAACTACTAAAATTATCAAAAAAATATGCATGACCTTATTGAAAGAATTGATTATGACTACAAAGTGAAAAACTCCAGTTTTACGTATTTTTTAAAAAAATGCACATACAGGTATTGCTCTTAATATTCCACAAAAAATTAAAATTTTCAATGACATTAATGAAACAACAAACTATGGAGTCTAAATTTCATTTCAAGACCAAACCTCTATCTTTAATTTTGTAGTTGCAAAAAGATTTGGATTATATTAGCATCATTTCTAATACTTTGCATGAAAGAAGAATTGAAAAAAATAAAAATTGAGTACTATTAATTTTTACGAACATTTTAACTTCATATTATTGCATACTTAGCCTTGGAAAGTAATGTAGCGATGTATTTCAGAACGTTCGTTGTCGAACTCCAACAATATAAGATAATGAAATGTAAAATTCTTTTGCATTATTTTGATTGCTGAATGCATCCATGCAATCATTATAAGGCTTTATTTGATTTATTAAACGCCGTAAATTGAAAAATGGAGTGTGACATACTATGGGGACAAATGTATTCTGTAAACATACATACATACATACATTTATTAGAACTGCAATTGGGTATGACCCGGTGGCAGTTAATGGCAATA